TGTCGTGCTGTGAGAAAGAGTTAAATAACTAAAATAGGAAAAAATCTCTCTAGCTATTAGTTCAATTCAGCATAAAAGGATTTAGATGATTCTCCCTCCTGTGCTCAATAATTCCTCAAGCAATTTAATCTTTTCTCATAGGCTTAAAATGAACTCACAGGATATAAATGCTTACTTTCAAGTGATTCCTATTTGATTTTGCATCTGTGGATGTCATGAATCGTTATGATAATCAAATCCAATGAAGACTCATTTGAACTGTCATTTTCATGATATATAGTTATATAAATTGAATACCAGCTGCTATCACTTATCCTTTTCAGTGTCTACCTATAACAGAACATCTTTCCACATGTCCTACTTAAAAAAAAAAGTAAGCACGATTCTATGTGGTTGCAATGTTGCCTATGATTATTATTAAGTTTTAAGCTAAAGAAAGCCAGAAAGGTGGGTGTTTAGGTAGGTTGCTCATTTCAAAGCTATTGCAATGAACCCCATGTAGGGCACCTAGACGCAATGTTATAATAATAGCAACTATTCACAGTCTATGAGCTGTGTTCCAGTAAGCCTCCTCAGAGGAGCATAGGAAGTTGAAAATCTCTTTTAAAAAATTAAAATTGAATAATATAAGTTTTGGTAAGTGGCAGAAGGAGGCAGTGGATTAAATAAGATAATGTATGGTAAATGTTTTGCAAACCCTCAAATGCTATAAAAATTCACATTTTTATCATTATTATTAGAGAATCCTGTACTTAAATGAGGAATTCATGGGTTCCAGTCCTGGCTCTGATACTTAATAGCTGGCTAAGCATGGTGTAGGTGGGTGGTACAGTGGATAGAGTCCTGGCCTGGAGTCAGGGAGACTCATCTTCCTAAGTTCAAATCTGGCCTCAGACACTTACTAGCTGTGTGACCCTAGGAAAGTCACTTAACCCCTTTTGTCTCAGTTTCCTCATCTATAAAATGAGCTGGAGAAGGAAATGGCAAACCACTTCAGTATCTCTGCCAAGAAAACCCCAAGTGGGGTTATGAAGAGCTAGACACAACTGAAAAACAGCTGAACCACAACAAAGCATGGAAAAGTTGCATAAGTATTCTGAGACTTAATTTTCATATTGGTAAAATGGGAATAATAATGCTTGTATCATTTGTACTTGACCCAGTCAGTTGTCTTGCATTTTTTTCTCCCAGCATTTTTCAATAGTACATGAGTGGGAGCAGAAAAGATAGTGTGAGTAATCCAAAGTTGGGGTTTGGTAAGGCATGAGTGACGAAAGGGCAATGGATCTGGATGTAGAACACAGGTTAGTATTGAAACTGATTGATTACTGGGTCAAAATAAGGAAGAGAGGAGAGTGAGCAAGAACCTAGGTTATGGCCTAGTAAAGTACTGAGTGAAGCAGGAATTGGATGTCAAAGTGAGGATGAAGAACAGATTTAGGAAGAAAGTGGCATGGTGAAAGATGAAGTAATAGGAAAATATGGTCAGATAATACAATTATAAAAAATTGATCAAGGAAGTGGAACACTAGTCTGTGAGGTGAGACCAAGGGCATATCTATTACTGTGAGTGAAGAAGTAGGTCATGGGAATTGTGATCATTAGGGAACTGAGGGGTCAAAGGCTGAGAAAGTCTATGAGGCAGATACCAAACTCTTTGAAAAGGGAGAGAATAATCTGGGAACTGGTAGATAACTGCCACTAGGTTCTGGATATGGTGATATATCTGGACTGAGCAAATCTCAAAGTATAACAGGACCTTTGCAGTAGTCCCATATTATCCAAGATGGAGATGTGCTGAGGGACCACATAGGCATGTCCTGATCTCCTAAAATGGAAGTACTCGTCTTCTGTGGGTACAGCCTCCTCTAATTTGCTGTGTAACTACAACCACCTATGTCTTTAAATTTGGAGGGGCTGATATGGTTGTGGTCCCTTTCTATTGAATTTGCTGACTCACAACTCCTTCTTGTGCTGGTCCAGAGTGTGAAGATTCCCCTTCATCCACATCTTGGGCACCATGAACTGAACAAGTGAGAGGGGAAGGACTTCTTTCCCCTATTCTCCATCTACAAATGGCTCTAGCAGCCACCCATGGTTTTCCCCTAAGTGTCCCCTGTACCCAGTTCCATTTAACCACTAAGGGATATTATAATACTTTATAATATTATAATTCAGCAAGATGATGATCAAAGGATATTCACTGAGTTGAGTGATACGATTGCATTTTAAGTATGAAGACTCATCATGATAACCTCAGAAGGACAAAATGATATCTCAGTAAAAATATGAGAGAAGGAAATAATAACAGCTAATATTCACATCGTATTTTGAGGATTGCAAAGCACTTTACAGATATTATCTCATCTGATTATCACAACCACCCTGGGAGGTAGGTACTACTATTTTCCTCATTTTACAAATGAGGAAAGTGAGGATAAGAGAGATTAAATGATTTGCTCAGGATCATACAAGTAGTATGTGAGGCAGGATTTGAACTTGTCTTCCTAACTCTAACGCACCATACAAATGGGCTGCTTCAAAGTTCATGAAAACACTGTCATCCATTAAAAAAAGAAGAAACTCTGAAGAAGCAAGTTTATTTGAATCCAATAATATGTTGTTTATTATAGCAGAACTATAACTTTTACATGACCATAGAGGCTGAACAACTATAGACACCAGGAAGGTAGTTAGAGTTGGAAGAGCTGCAGAAGAGATCAGAGAAAGAGGCATACTAGTATTCTGAGAAGGGAAAGAAGTCAGTAACAGAGCTATAACTAGAATTTTTGTGCCTGAGGCAAGTGGCGTGAAATATGCTCTCAATCCAGTTGCAGATATAGCAGGGAAGCAATGAGTCAACAGCAAAACAAGGCTAACAGCTTCAGGGATGATGTAGGGAGGGAAGGACTAGGCAAAGAGAGATGAGAAAGCCAAGGTCAAATCTAGGAAGATCTTACCCAAGGTAATGACATTGGGATAGCTATTTGACAGCTTCCTATTTTAAGAAATTATTCCAGCAAACTAGGTACTAAGCCCAGTTGTTTCTAAGCTGCTGAAGGACTGCAAATGCTCAATGCCTTCTAAATTTCTATACCCTAGAACAGAGTCTTGGTTGTCCTGCCCTAGTTACGTCTCTGGCTAGTAATGAAGGGGTTGGCCTAAGTGGAGTGGTCAGCCTACAGCACTTAGGGGCACACATAAACACAGACAGGAAAAGCAGTGAGCAGTGACCAGACAGAAAGAGTGGAAGTGGGGCATGGGGCAGGAAATAGTGCCAGGAGGGTAGAGAAGTCTCTTATTCAGTGAGTGATCAAAAACTTAGAGGCCTACCTACAGACATGGGGAGTACAGAATTAAATGGAGTGGGAGACATATTAGATCAGAAGTGAGTGGGCCTTGATAGCTGAGATAGTTTAAGTGTCCCAGGTCTAGCTGCTTTGCTTTTCTTTTCTCCTTGCCCTGTCAAGTATTAATGTAGAGGATTCATTCAATACGGGTGAAAAAAGAGGAGTAAAGCATGGTCACAGCTTAATATGTTTCAAAATATTTAAATCAGACATGAAACATGTAGAGGAAGAATGAATGATGTGATTTATTTTCATCTAATTGGTGTAATAATCCAAATTGTTGGCAGCACTTTTATGAATACACATCGATTAGCAAACATAGGGTAGAAACAGATGAAGGGGCTAGATTCAGATCCAGAAATGGTTTGCAACAACTAAGGAAGTTCAGAGGGGGGTTAGTTACAAGCCTCTGAAACTGGAGGCTCTTTGCTTTGTGAAGCCCTACAGTTATTGCTCTTTTTAATTTTGTTGTGGTTGTTGTTCAGTTGTGTCAGACTCTTCGTGACCCCATTTGGGGTTTTCTTACTGGAGCGGTTTGCCATTGCCTTCTCCAGCTCATTTTATAGAAGAGGTAACTGGAGTAAACAGGATTAAGTAACTTGCCCAATGTCACACAGCTAGTAAGTGTCTGAGGTCAAATTTGAACTCAGGTCTTCCTGAGCCCAGGCCCAGCGCTCTGCCCGCTTCGCTGCCTCGCTGTTATTAACAGTTTGATTTCTTTAACAGGTCACCTTCTAAGTTCTGTCAATATATAGCAACCGGAATTGTTTTTGTTCTTAAACTTTTTTTGTGTCATGGACTTCTTTGGTGGTCTGGTGAAATCTACTGAATCCTTCTCAGACTAATATTTTTAAATATATGAAATTAAATACATAGGATTATAAAGGAAACCAATTATGTTGAAATAGAGATTAATTCCCCTCCCCACCCCCAACTAGTTCACAGACCCCTGGGTAAAAACTTTTATTAGTGTGACCCTTTTTGTTGTAACAAAGTACTGGAAACAAAATATTAACAAATTTTGGTATGTGAATGCATTTGAATTTTATTATGCCATAAGAAATTATGAGTACGGTGGCTTCAGAGAAATGTGGAAAGACTTTCATAAACGGATGCAGAGAGAAGTGAGAAGTGCCAGGAGAACAATTTCTGTAATGGTGACAATAATATGTGAGGGGAAAATAACTTTGAAAGACCTCGCAAGTCTGAACAAAGCAGTGATGAATCATGAAAAAATAAATGATGAAACCTACCTCCCTCATCTAAGAATAGAGATGAGGGACTAGAGGTATTAAATCAGAAATGTGTTCTTAAACATGGTAAGTGTTCATTTGTTTTGCTGCATTGTGCATGTTTTTTATAAGGGAAGGCTTCTACTGGAGAGGGAGGTGAGGAAGTTAGTGGGTAATAATAAATATGGGAAAAGGATCAATAAAACACTAAAAAAGGACAGAAGGAAAAAAGTGCAGAAGGATACACAAAGCAATGTTGTTACAACTGTGTGTGTATATTTTAAAATAATGTAAAAGACATTTACAGTTTTCATACAATACTCTTATTCATTCTTTCTACCTTAAAATATTTGTTTTTTATGATTAAGTTTATAGTAAATGATAATTTTAAACATTTTATTAGACATATGAAAATGTCTAGATGATACAGACACTTTATTATGAGATATCGTTAGTTACTTGAGAAGATTTTTTTTTAACTACATAGTGAATGCAACATGTTGATTCGTTGGTATGAAGGCAGAGGGAACTCCAGGAAAGTATAATGTCCCAGGAATCTTGACAGTCATGCTCTATTTCAGGCTAGCTAGTGACTTTGTCATGACAGGTCATTTAATGCTCTTTGCTATTGTTTTTCCACCTGTAAAAACAGACATTTCTTAGGAGGACAGTGAGAAGACAAAACAAGATAATACATTAAGTACTTATTCCTGCTAGTAAAATGGAATATGTAAATTTACAATGTATGCAAAATATGCACAAATATTGATACATGTTTAAATTCCTTGAATGTGGAAAATATGGAGAGCATAGTAAACCACTATTATGATGTTTAAAAAATGACAACATATAATATTTTGGAAAAAAAACAGAAAGTATTTCCTAACAACTTTATTTACTAATTAATTAATACTACAGATAATCAATATGTTTAGAAGTCTGCCAGTCTACTGAAATCAACCCAGTACATCATCTCCAATGAATAAGTACTTAAAAAATTGAGTGCATATGAAAGACTCCCCACTATTGCTGATAACCTTATAATTTCATAGATATTTTACTCACATATTTAAGCACTATTATGCTTTTTAAAGTGACTTTTATTTATTTTTTGTACTTCTGTTTTACCTATTCCATAAAGATCAAGTGACCAGCCTAACAAAGAGTAGGAACCTCAATTCATCATGGTTGTTAACAGAGGGCTGTGCTAGTTTCTCTTACAAATTTTAATATGAATGAATAAAAAAGCTTGTATTAAGAGTTCATTATGTGCTAAGCTATTTTATTTATCTTGCTAAATAAAATTCATAAATATTTACATTACTTGCCTATTCACTGGTATGTGAAATCTGTATTTTCAACTCTACCAGTGTATTATATTAGGTCTTTTAAAGAACATAATATTACTTTAAATCAAAGCAGCAATGTAATTCTGGTGTACTAGAAAGAGTATCAATGTCAGAAGACTCAGGTTCAACTGTTGGTTCAACAAAAGGAAGATTATAAAAATGATAAGCCATGTTAATTACACACATAATAAAATAAATATAAGAGTATATGAAGATACTGAAAAAAGTTTTTGATAAAATTAGCTAATTTCTACCAAAACTTCTAGAAGTCACAGGAATAAATGGATTTTTCCTTAATATAGTAAATAGTATCTCTCTAAAATCATAAGAAATCATTATAATTAATAGAGAAAAGTTAGAGTATTTTCCAACAAGATCAGAGGTAAAGCAAGGATGTCCATCATACCCTCTACCATTTAATATAGTGCTAGAAATGTTAAGTATAGTAACGAGATAAGAAAAAGGAAACTGAGGGAGTAAGGGTAAGCAAAGAAAAATAAAAATTATTTTTTTTTGCAGATGATATGATGGTTTATTTAGAGAAGCCTAGAAAACTGAGTAAAATTAATTGAAATAACTAATAGTTTCAGCAAAGTTGCAGGATATAAGATAAGCCCACATAAATTATCAGAATTCCTATATATAAACAACAAAATGCAGCAAGAATCCAGCTAGAAAGAGAAAATTCTTTAAAATTAACTTTATTCAAACTTTAAAATTTAAATTTAAACTTTAAAATCAACTTTATTAACAAAATTCTTTAAAAATAACTACAAAATTTTACCTGGGAACTATGTGAATCTACATGAGGACTAAATGAATTAAAACACTCTTTGCAGAAATAAAGATAGGCCTAAATAATTAGAAAAGTATTTGCTTATGGTTGGGTTGAGCCAATATAATTCTTAAAATGACAATACTTACTACCTAAATTAATTTACTTGTTCAGTGTTGTAGCAAACTCCCAAAATAATATTTTGTCAGTCTAGAAAGAACAATGAAATTCATATAGAGGAACAAAAGGTCAAGAATCTCAGGAGTAATAATGAAAGAAAAGTGTGAAGGAAGGGGGTCTATCAGTTTCAAATTTCAAACTACAACAAAGTAGTAATCATAAAAATGATTTAGTACTGAGGAAAAAAAAGAGAAGCTGATCAGTGGGACAGATTGGTTACACAACATATACAAGGAAAAAACAAAACAAAGGCAAACAACAACAATCACCATCCACAGTACTGTAGTTTTTGATAAACCGAAAGACCCTAGTTACTGGGGAGAAGGGCTCCCTATTTGACAAAAGTTATTGAGAAAACTAGACAACGGTCTCTCAGAAACTAGACTCACAATACTCCATATCATGCATCAAGATAATCTCTAAGTGAATATATGGCCTAGATATAAAAGATCACATGATAATTAGGAAACTGGGGTTCATATCCCAGCTTCAGTACCTGTTAACTGTGAGATCTTGGCAATTCAGTTAATCTCTCTGGGACTCAGTTTCTTTATATATAAAATGGAGATAATGCTATTATCTACTGCAGTATCTATTATAGTATCTGCTACTACTACTACTAGTGTCTACTGTAATATCTACTTGTACTAGCTACTTCATAGAATTGTTGTGAGTCAGATGAGATAGTGTATGAAAAATACTTTACAATAAGCTATTATTATTCCTATTAATACCAATAATTATACTAATCCATAATGATGATCTTTTTCTTCATATTTCCTTCAAGAGCTTCACCTGAAGTTCTGTCCATACCCTTAGTTATTGGTTAATCATCCCAGAAAAGTTTGATTTAATATTTAGAGAGTAAATACTTAATTCATAAAATTATATTCTAAATTGATTTTGATTCTAGGAAATTCTTTTTAAAAAAAGGAGAAACTCATTTGATGAGCACACAAACCCATGGCTTGAAATGACAATTTGATGCTTACAAATTTCTCCAGTTTTTTCTTATTTAAAAAAAATCCATCAATCATCAAACATGTAGTAAGTGTTTACTATGTGCCAGTCACTGTGCTAAGCATTGGGAATACAAAAGAGGCAAAAGACAGTCCTTGCTCTCAAAGCTTACATGTCACATCACATCATTTCAACTCAAGCAAGGAAGAGATTAGATTTTGGATGTCCCTCTTCACAGATTTAAGAGCTAGATCTGTTATGATGAGTGTGATATTGACAGTGGAAGGCCAGAATGAAACAGCAAGAGGAAACAGCTAATGTTCATGGAGCAAAGGCAATCTTGTATAAGATTCTGAAAACAGAACTTAAAGTGAGGTCATATGCTATATTATCTCTTTTCCTCAGCTATATTACTATGTCTAAATTATATTTCTAATGGGGCATATTTTTTACCTCCCAATTGTAACATTGGCTTAAACCTTGTAGCAGTACCTACCATACCAGCTCATGCAAGAACATACTTTCATATCCCTGTTTCTTAAAAAGTTATTAAGACAGACATATCTAACACACGGATATAACAAACATCCAGTCTTGTGAGGACAGCAGTAAAAACTGGCTTAGCCAGATGTCAGAGGAGACTTCCTCAGGAAACAACAATATCTGTTCATGAAATTATGCCAACAACGCCAGCTGGATGCTTAGAAACAATTCAGTTCTAGAACACTCTTTTCTAAAGATTGGTCAGCTGAGCCAATGCATCTTCTCTAAAATAGAATTTAGAATAGATATGGTGCTCTGTCTTCAAATGCATAAATAGTTTGTAAAGCAACTAACACAGGTTTAATGAAGATGGGAGTTTAGTGCAAGGACACTGTTCAAGCTTATTAATCATCTGTAGTCAAAATCAAAAACAAATTTATTTTTGTTAAAATAACAGGAAAGTATGCTATATACTTCAGTAGTGAATTTAGAAAAGCTGGGTTTTTTGTTTGTTTTTGGTTTTTGTACAGTGTGAAGTAGGGATGTCATCAAGGATGTAGAAATTCAACACAAAAATGAAAATATTTTATAAGCAAAATTATTATTTTCAATTCAAGAAGCATTTTGTGAAGGAGATTAAATCTAGTCATGAATTTAATATCATTATTTAGTTAACATTAATTTGTTTTTGACTTATGCTGTACTTTTCCATGTGTTAGAAAGGCATGGAAATAAGCACTAGCCCCCTTGTTTGAGGACTAAAAGAAATCCGGCAATGAGTCAAATGAGAAAGTTAACATTCTCAGACTCATCTTTAAATTTCTTCTTTTTTGGTTTCCACAAACTCTCTGTCAAGAAACTCTGTACATGCTCTTGGCAAATGCTTTTATTCTTTTAACTCATGATAGCTGCAAAAGGAGCAGGAATTGGAAAAATAGTATTGGCATGTCTTTGGTTCGAGTTGCTTTTAGGGTAGTGGTATAATAGAGCTGATCTGGCCAAGGAGGGTCCAGTTGTTGAAGCATGTATATATGTATGTATTGTGTGTGTGTGTGTACAGAGAATACACACACACACACACACACACTATATATATATATATATGTGTATATATGTGTGTGTATACACACACACACACACACACATATTCTCTGCCTATTTTTACTCCATGTATTCCCAGCCTGGGCCAGAAGACCACATGGAAACTTTGGGAAGCCAGATTGTGCACATAATGATTCAAGGGGTTTTACTGTGTGATGACAAAATGTCCTCTAATTGGTTGTGGAGCCAGAAGAACTGACAATTCAAGAATTGCTGAGCTGGAACTGAATGTGTATACAAAAGATGTGACTCATTCATCTCTGTCTCTCTTCCTTAGCCTTAGCTCTAGTGAGAAGAACTGCACTGAGCTGTTGGATGAGAGAGAGGGAATCAGTCATATTCCCTCACAAAGCCACCATGTTTCCACGAGCATGTGGTACCACTGTTTCTTTTGTGTTTATTCTTTCTTGGTCTTAGATGAATGAGTATTCCAAAGAAAAAAATGTCCAGGTGACTTGGTGAGACTGAGAGATCCACACTTCTCACAGTGAAATGATGTAGTAGAACTGACCACTGATAGAAGAAATACCTCAAGATGGCCATGGAAAAATAGCGATACTTGTAGAAGAGAAAAGTGCAGGCTGTGGACTTAATAGAGACACTCATCCTCAGAGTCAAGCCAAGAGTTACACCTAAGGACAAGTTCATGAGGACATCACAAACTGAGGAAAGGACTTCCAGTACTCCACATGTGATTTTACCCATTTGCCCCATATGCCTACCATACCCATGAGTTCCTTTTGAATTCTTTACCAGTATTTACATTTGATCATTACTAGAGATACTTCAACCAACCCCAACTAGTTTTTACCTGAGAGTAGGGTTTTTTACCTGAGAACCACCTTTGCCTGAGTGGATTATCTTTACTGAGTCATTTTCACCTGTAGGAATCTTCATCTTCTCTGGTCTCTTTGGATTGAGCTAGGGAGCAGGTCACACATAACACATTCATTACACATGGGAAACCGGTTTTCTGTATTTGTTATCAGCATGCAATGGATCCTTCATGTGAATCCAACTCTATATACCCAAATATATTTACATGTGGAGACTTTTACATAAGACCTAATGAAACGTACAACCTCTCAAGGTTACCTGATAGAACAGTAGAGCTGAAAGTAGTCAGCCAGCCCTCCATGAGAATAGGAGATAGGAAAATGGTCCCAGTAAGGCTAAAGTGAAAAGATCACTTGACAAGGGTTCAGGCTTTACCTGATATTTGGCTCAGCATCAGCTATATAATATTGGGTAACTACTTTTACCTCTCTGGGGCTCAACTCCCTTATAGGTTCCTATGAAAACCATTTATAAATGCTCATATTGCATGAGGAAATATACTGTGTGTGTTAGCTTTTGATTAAATTAGTGTCACAAACTCTATTATGTGAGACAAACTCACATAATAAAGAGTATTGTCCTAAATAAAGAATTCATTTCTCTATGGAAACTTCAAAATATCTCCTTCTTCAGGACCTAATCAATGTTTTTTGAGAATCTAGAATTTGAAAATAGGTTAATGAATAGTTTGGGCATTTTTTAAAAAACCGAGCTAATGAATCTTTTAACTATAAATTCTTCAAGCTATTTTTTCATGTGTAGAGACAGGTCTTAGACCTGGTAATATTCTCCAATACTGTAAGGGCATACAAAACACTAAGAATACAAAGAGTAATACATATTTTCTCTGTAAATTAATCAGTAGATCACTCTAGGCAAGACCATGGCCCTTAATCATGGAGTCTAACACCAAGCAAAGTGTTTGCGATATTTTTTCAGTGACTTACAAATTCTCTTGGCAGATCACGCTAATAACCAATTATTTTAGCCCACCCTGTGAGAAGCTCTCCATTAAAACATCTTCATGTCTAATACGGTCATTAAAATTCTCACATCTCATTTCCCATTTGGGTTTGAATAAACATATTTCTAAAGGTTAAAAATTTGCAATGAACCATGAAAAAAAATGAGATGATTGGATCAGAGTACATTCTGAATTTTAAAAATTGTTATAAATTTTGTAATAGTTAACAAAAACAATTAAAGTATATAAAATAAAGCATAAAAATCTTATATGATGTCATTTATGCAGCATTTTAAGGTTTACAGAGAGCAATACAAATGTTATCTTATTTGATTCTCACAAGAACCCTATAAGAACAGTGTTATTATTATCCTATTTCAAGGATATGCTCTATTTATAATAATTATTTACTATTATTTACTCATGTTACAGATAAGGAAACTAAATCACACAGAACTTAAGTGACTTTCCCAGGATCACACAATTAGTAAGTGTCTGAGGCAAGATTCAAATTCAGGTCTTCCTAATTCCAAGTCCAATACTTTAACCACTGCTCTACCTTTTCTCTGAAAAACAAAACAAAACAAAATAAAAAACAACCCAGCATGTAAAATGGTAGAACTAAATGAAATAGAAAACAATGAAAGGGAATACTTTTGTTGCAATTCACTTTTCAGGTCTATCTGAAGTTCTGCTAACTCCGGACTGTTTCCTTCCTTACTTCCTTAATTTCTTTCTTTCTTTCTTTTTTTTCATTTACACTCACATGTGAGTATAGTTCTGGTTCTGCTGATAGAACTCTGTATCACTTTTTAAAGGTCTACTATTTATCTTTTTTTAAAAACAGTATTTTCTTTTAAAAATAGTATATTCTATAATATAAGTATATGTGGACCTATCATTTCAACACATACTAGCTCACTTAACTGTTCAGTGGACTCATGTTACTCTTCAAGACTACACCAATATGCCATAATATACTCAACAATACTCCAATTATTAAATATGCAGAATATTTCCTTTTGCTATTACTATTGCTTTTCTTTAATTTTAGAAGCACTGATTTATTGTTCTGCAAAATACTTTTATCTTTGTATAATCTAATTCATAGGCCGTTCCCATTGATTTCTTCTATTTGCTGGATAAATAAAAATGTCTCTCCTTTCTATCATTGAGGCAAATACATTATTTCTCCTTTTTCTCTTATTTTTTAAAAATTGTATTACTGATCCAACTATAATTTATAGTGGTGTGGGGAGTGAGGTATGGACTCAAACCCATTTCTTATCATAGTTATCTAGTTGTTTTAGCTTAAAAAAAAACAGTGATTCTATTCCCCAGTCTTTTTAAAGTATGGGTATATTGAACACTAATCTTTTAAAATAAACATCACTTTCAATAGAACAGTTTTCTATTTTGTTCCATTACTCAATTCTTTTTCCAGTGCCAGGCTTTTTCTTTTGTTATATTTTACTTTCCTTCACATACTTTACAATCCAGCTACAATCTACTTGCTGTTCCTCTCATACAATACTCTATCTCCCAACTTTGTATCTTTGGACTGTCTTGCTCATACCTGGAATACTTTCCCTCTTTTTCCCCACCTCCTACCTTCTCTGGCTTCCTTCAGGACTCAGTTCAAATCTCACTTTTGGAAAGAGGTCTTTATAGTCATTAATTCCTCCCCTTCCCCAGTCAAAGTTTATTTGCATGTTTTCCCCAATTAGAATATGTGTGTGTGTGTGTGTGTGTGTGAGAGAGAGAGAGAGAGAGAGAGAGACAGAGAGACGGAGAGACAGAGAGACAGAGACAGAGACAGAGGCAGAGACAGAAACAGAGACAGAGAGACAGAGACAGAGACAGAGACAGATACAGAGAGAGATACATACACAGAGACAGAGAGACAGAGACTGAGAGACAGACAGACACACACAGAGTGAGAGACAGAGAGAGACAGAGAGACAGAGAAACTTAACAGAATTAAGAGAGAATTTCTAAAAGGTGAATGAGAAATCTCCCTAGCGTGGGAAAGCTGTCCCTAACTTGTCCTTTGATTCCTAGCAGCTGCAAATCTAGAGACTACTAAGAGTAGACTTCCTTGGTGAGGTCATTCTCGCCTTGATGAAGCTAAGATTTTTCCTTCCTTCCAAATCAAAGAGCTCATTTTCTCTGGTCTAGTGTGTTGTCTCGGGCAGCTGGGTGGCACAGTGGATAGAGGCTTGGAGTCGAGAGGATCCCAGTACAAATCCAGCCTCAAATACTTACTAGTTGTGTGACTCTGGGCAAGTCATTTAACCCTAT